AATAAAACCTGAATCGATAACAAATCAATGAAAATGTTGCTAGAGTTGGGGTCGTTTTTATGGAAAATTGTAATGTTGCTATTTTACTAATAAAGCTACAGTTAATTTATCTTAGCATTTTATTTAAATATAAATATATTCGAATAAAATTAATGCCGCTAGTCAAGGTTTAAAGGCCTCGTCACTTCAACCTTTTTATGCTTCTAGTTTATATGTTTGTAAACAGAGATCTATTGTTTCTATTAGGCTTAACAGTCTCCATTAGATCTTTCTTGGAACAAGATTACAGACTATAAAGGTAAGTTTCAACAAATTTATAGATTGGTGTCTATCCATTATAAATTACTTTCAAAGCTTATAATATGTTTGTTTATTCTTAAGAAATTATCAAATCTATTACATATCTTTTTTTTATATTTTTAAAAATAAGTAACTGCCTTAATTCCTCGTATATGCTAAATAAATTTAAATTTATCACTTCAAGTGGTAAGAATGCTACCTTTAGATATATAAGGGAAAAGCAAATTGGATTTTTTTTATTGTTGAGTTTCAGAAATATTAATTTCTCCTGGTTTTAAAATAAGATGAAATGATTAAAACGGACCTGCAAAGATGCACCAATCTCACCAGTACTCCTGTGACCTAATGCGTAAATTCAGTTTGGCTTACTTTTTTCAATAGGGATTGTTGTTCCATTTTAAATATACAGTTTACTGATATCTACCTATAAACAATATTAACAGTGTAATTATTTGAATTATAAATATCGTTTGTTACACTTGAATAAAAAATAGAATTTAATTTTTGTAAAATGAAATTTTATGCATGAGTTGCATTGTTCTTTAAATTTGTTATTGACAAAATATTTACAAAATAATGCTTTGGATTCTGATGAAAAAACTATTTGATACGCCCATGGAGACCACGACTGTCAAAAGTTCGTAGATACTGGCTTTCAAACAAAGCATTTGTAAAACTGCGCCCGTAACACATCTATATTTCATTTGTTTATCTGAGACTAATATGATATTTAATTTCTGGAACATGGGAACCGTTTAAACACATTGTTAATATATTGTTCCTTTTTGAAATTCGCCTCAGATTACCCTGAATACATTTACCTAAACATTAAAAAATATATATGTAATATTAACGTTAGTATAATAAGCAAATCAATGCTTGGTATTCGAAAAACATTTATTAAAGAGATAAGTTTTTGGAATATCTGGAAAGTGTTACGCGGAAAAAGATTAAGTCGCCCAGTTACCTAAATAGTTTTAACCAATATGTCTCGAAGGCGTCCAGAAGGCTGGAATCGAACACAAACAGCAAATTTCTTTTACTAACATTCCAGTTAGAAAACTGATATATGCTTTCCTATAATGCTGTATTGACAGTTTTCTGGGAGCTTTATTGTTATTGCATGTTTGAATGAAATATGTGTCGTAACGCTAGTGCACTATGTCATAGCATCCGCATTTCATTTTATATTCAACAGCTTTATCGCATTTGAATACGAACTTGTGATCTTTTTTGGTTGTTTCAGGTTGGGCTTGCACAATTGTTAGTAATCAGTAGTTGTTCCCCAGTTATTGCTGTATATGTAATTTTAGGGTAATTTTTGGTTTGCTTGTAAACGAGATATAACTGTAGGCTGGTAGTCTCGCTTTGAACTAATTTACAGTGGTAGATAAAAAAAACAGTATGAGTTTTTAAAAATGTTCGCCTTTTGCTTGTTTCCGATAATTTTAGTTGTACTAACAGTGCTGGGAGAGAAAAAGCATGAGAGAGATAGAGTTACGGGTTTAATATTAAAATAGAGAGTGTTTTGTAAATATATAAAGTCTATTCAGATTTCATTTACGCCGTGTCAAAACAATCTCTCCCATCCAGCAACATCTCACGTGGCATTTTTTTGCGCTTCTATTGGTTAATGGGTCATTAGTCATTTAGACAAATATTTTTTTGTCAGAGTCGAATTCAGTTCAATTTGGATAATTATAAATGGCGTTTTGGTAGCATTCACCGTGTTGGTTAGTTTGGACATTTTTTTTGTTTTTGTGGTTGTTGTTAGTTTGAACATTTTTTACTCTATTTTATGGACATTTAATTGACTATATTTTGTAACTGCTGCGTCCTCCACAGATATAGCAGATAAAGTCCAGAAAAATGTTTTTACTATTTCTAAAAAGCGACCGAAAAAGGGACATTTGGTCATCCGCACAAGCATTAAATTTTATAGAACCCTGATATGTTGGTACATGATGTTGAAAGGAGAGTTGCTGATAAAACAGGGATGTGCACTAAAACAGTTTTTAATGTTATGAAGGAGTATAGGCAGATTTATAAATTTTCTGAACCAAAAAGAAAGCTACGTTATAAACAAATTAGTGGCTCTGTGGATGATTTTGAAAAAATGCAATAAGGCGCAAAGTACATCAATTCTTCTTTAGAAATTAACTTCCAACAATGGATAATGTTTTATAAGACGTCAATGATGATCCATATTTGTCTACTTTTAAGCGAGCTACACTTTACAAGCTTTTCAAAACCCTTAATTTTAAATTTAAAACTCGAGGAAAAAATAGTTTGCTTTTAGACAAAATGAAATTGTTTCGTCCTACGCCACAAAAAATAAAACGGTACAGAGAAGAAAAGCAAAAAATATATTATCTTGATGAGACTTGGATTAACGCAGGCCACACCAAATCAAAAGTATGTTTCGATATGTCGGTTTTATCATCCAGACAAGCCTTTTTGGATGAACTTTTAACTGGTATTAAAAACCCATCAGGTATGTACGTAAAAACAGCTCATTATATGCCATATTGGAAGTGAAGAAGGCTTTGTCTCTAATGCACTTTATGTATTTAAGTTGAAAAATCCGGTGACTACCATGAAGAAATGTGTGGAGAATCGTTCAAAGAGTGGTTTTCAAACACCCTACCAAAATTAGAAGATAACTGCATTATTATTCGAGAAAGCTGGAAAAAATACCTACAACGACGTCTAAAAAAGGTGATTTTTAAAAATGGCTATAAGGGAAAAAAATTGAATTCGACTAACAAATGCTTAAGATCCAACTTCTAAAACTTGGTAAGCAACATAAACATTATGATAGGTATGTAATAGATGAAATGGTTAAGCAGCAAAACAACATAATATTGAATGAATCTAGGTTGACGTTAAACAATACGTAGCAGATAAAAACTCAACATTTAAATCTGGAGACATTAAAATTCTTTTTGAAGAAGTAATATTAATTTTTCCAGAAAAATGGAAAGAGTGTATCGACCATGTTCGCCAAAAAGTACCACTTGTAATTTTGATTAATGAAGATAGCCCTTCAAGTCTAACTAATTTATCCGATTCAGAATAGTGCTAAGTCAAGTAAGGAAGATTGCTATAATACAGGGTACAAGGTGTCTAATCTAAATACTAATAGAACAAGAACAATAAAGAACAAAAGTTGTCAAAAATACAAAAGATTTCTTTTTAAAATGCACAATTTTAAATCAAATACCAAATTCAAATACCAAATACCTCTTATATTTAAAGTTTTTTAATGCTTTCAGTAGATATATATTAGCTATTAAAGAATTTGCAATTATTTGGACACCCTGTATAATATAATTTTATAATATTATTGTTTTAATGCTCTGTATCACAGTAGACATATATATTGAACTAAATATAATGCAAACATCTCTTTTAAAGTCAAATACATTTATTAATTTGTATTGCAGGTTAACGCAGTTTATGTCGCTCACCTATCTTCGTCCAGAAATGTCACTAAAGTCTGGGAGACCGTATATGGCATTTATTTTATAGTTTTGGTTTACAAAATATGTTTTTAGCGTAATAAAAAAATAATTTCATAATTGAATTGTTTATTTCAGAAACAACCTAAGTCACTTTTTGAGAATTTTCAGGAGGTGATGAAAAAAACGTTTTGAACTAGCAGCAGGACTAAAGTTGTTTCAGAAATAAACGAAAATTTTAAATTATCATATAAATAAGGATTTTAACGAAAGTTAGATTTTTCTGCATTAAATGTGTGTTACTCTGAAACTACAATTTTAATGAGATAAACCCTATACGGACAAAAAGTGACTTGGGTTGTTTCTGAAATAAACGATTCAATTACACTCTTTTATTTTACATTTTTGCAAGACGGAAAAGTAAAATACGGCCCTGCTCAATTTTAGCGTCCACCTGCTTCTGTTTACATCAGGCGCAAATTAAATTTGAATAGACTTTAGACTTCTGGCAACTGTTTTTTTGCACAATAAACATATGTTCAAAAATACTTCATTTCTAATAATAGACTTGTCCCGCGACCATAATTACGGAAATGTTGGACACAGGCTAATAGGTTCACAAGATATCTAATAAAAATATTTTTTTAAAAAATTAATGAATTCGATCAAAACGTTGATGTGTTACTCAGATAAAAAAATTAATAATAGATAATTAACGGCCTAGATCTGTTTGAAGCCACTGTGAACCATTTTTTCTATTACTTTCTTTTTTCCTTAGTCTTTGATGTGACTCGTTTATTTTGAATAGCAGCGCCAAAGTTTTCTCACAAATGTCAACAAGCCAATATACATTTGAACAAGTTCCACGTCGTTTCAAAGGTAAGTAAATAAAAAAAAATGGGCGGTACACGTTAAAATATTATTAGTAATTTTTTACAAACTCTAGAATTAGGAACGGTTGAAGTTGATAAAACTAACTAAAACATTTTTTAAATTATGATTTTTTTTATAAATTCTGCCAGGAAAGACGAATTTAAAACTGGAAGCAGTTTCTATTTTAATCAATTCTCATTCTCAGCTTGATCCGTTTTTAAGTGCCTAAGTTATAATAATATTATGCAATACAATACCTAAAAATTATATACATTTTAAACTTACAGTTTAATGGATACTAAGTTAAAAGAAGTGATAGGTAAGATGGAGAAACTATTCACTGAAGCTAAAGAAGAAATTTTTAAAATGGCCAAAGAAAATATTAGTAATATACCTCCTTTTGAATTAAATAAGTCAACTTATTCGCAAGTGGTTCAAGCGACATATCAATCGGTTGTAGTTATTAAACCTAAGGATGATACACAAAATAATATTCAAACTAAGGCTGATATTATGAACAATATTAATCCCACTGAATTAAATATAAAAGTTTTAAGAGTTAAGAATACTAAAGAATGCGGAATACTTGTTGGGTGTAGTAAGAATGAAGACGCATCTAAATTTAAAGATGCGGCTAACGCAAAATTATCAGATGCTTACGAAGTAAAAGAAATTAAAAATAGAAATCCGAAAATTAGAATAATTGGAATGATTGAGAAGCATGAACCTGATGAACTTATTTCGATACTTAAGTACCAAAATGATGTTATCCAGTCGTCCAGAGTTTGAAGCGTTGTGAAAATTTGGGCTACCAAGAAAAATGATAAGATGTATCCAGCAACTCTAAAAATGTATGCCGAAACCTATGTGAAAGCGATGTCTCTTCAAAGTCTTCTTGTTGGCTACGATGTATGTTCAGTGTTTGATGCTATAGATATCACATTATAAGTGCAGCGGCTTCGTTCATAACCAAGGGTCGTGTTTAAAAAATATAGCTTGTCCTAAATATTCTCGACCACATTAAATTAAAGATTGTCCCATTGATTCTGAAATAAACTGTATTAACGCTAAAACTTCTGATGTCAAACATTTTGCTTGGGATCACTCAAAGTGCTCTGTTTATTAGAATAAACTTGAATATTATAAGAACTCTTTAATGTCATCGTAGCAATTATTGAGCATTTCTGATACTAGCCAACATAAACTTAGTTACTTAGTTACCAGAATCTTAAAGTATTAAACACCAAACTTGTAAAACTGTTCAATAATTCCATCAAATGTAACCACGACCTATAAGCACTTTCATAAACTTGGTTGAGTTCTTCTGTGTACGACTCTAAATTATTTTTTGAAAATTATGTAGTATTTCGTTCAAACAGAAATTTTAATATTACCAATACTACTAAAGGTGCGTTAATTGCTTTAAAGAAATGCATTAAGACTAGATTTTTTTAGAACTGATTACTTCTACTCCTTCTAATGACGTACTTAGTTTAAACATTTAAGTCTCGAATAGCAATCTGTATGTTATATTACTTTATATTCCTCCCTCTACTAGTAATGATATATACGATGTCTTTTATGATGTTTTATGCAATAACGAGTGGTGCACCAATGATTAACTGTTAATATTAGAGGATTTTAATATACCATATTATCATTCTAGTTGTAATGACAATATTTTGAAAAATGCTAGTATAGTTGAACTTGACAATTTTACCGAATTATTAGCTTTAAGACAATATAATAATAATACTCTTAATTTTAATAACCTTTTACTCGATTTAAACTTTAGTAGATCTGACATCGCTGTAAATCTTTCACTTGATCCATTAGTTGACGAAGATATTTTACATCTTTCATTAGAATTTCGGCTGCCTTTTTCTCAAATAAACACCCAGTTTTGCTATATCTAGTAAATTATCTTAATTTAAAGAAGCAAATTTTCCTCAACTCTACTAGAGTTTATGTAGAATTAATTGGAGTAGTTTGAATGCATACGTAACTTCTGAGGAGACTTGTGAGATGTTTTATTCTATCTTAAATTCCGCAATTGCCGCTAATGTACCAAAAACTACACCAAGGTGCAACTCAAAATACCCTCCTTGGTTTAATAGAAGTACAATCTCGGATTTGAGGAAAAAATCATGTCTTTATCATTTGTATAAAAGGACACTAGAGGCTGAAATTTATACCGAGTTTAGTATTCTTAGGTCTAAAATTAAATGCGACATTTCAATAAATTACAGAAATTATTTGACAAATATTGAGAGTAAAATATCTTCTAACCCCAATTATTTTTGGGAGTATATAAATTCAAGGAAAAACTTGTTAAAATATTTTTTCTAATTTTGACTAGATTTTTAATAAAATCTAAGCAAACAATATTACTACTTGTATTGTTAGTTGCATATGATTAACTTCTTTTATTCTTTTACTGACAAATAGAAAATAATAGTAATTTTTATAATTATTCTTGGCCCCTTGAGTGTGACTCTTTCCCAAACTATGGGCTCGCACATACAGTACGATTGAATTTGATGGTTATTTTTTTTTGGGTCTTATGTGTGTGTTTATGTATTTATGTGTTTTCATCTTTAGGCGAGTACTCTAAAGCGACTTATTAAAAAAACATTTCCAGAAATATAAAATATCAACGTGTATTGTACACAGGAAAGACTAGAATTATGCTTCACATCCTTGTTAGTGGAAATAAAGATAACCATGTAGTATACCTATGTTACGCCGCTGACTCACATGTATAGATTTAAAATTTTACGTCTTTATCGCTGCCTGTCTACATTACTCATTACCAATTGTTGTGTCGCCTGATTCACATCATTAAACCGACCACATTTTAGCGATAATAAAAACATGGGTAAAAACTAAGGTAGGAAAATAATGTTTTTCTTTTTATGTAACTGATTTTTAGCTTGCAGAAGATACTACTTTATGTGTAAATTTCTGCATTTAGACAACAAATAAATATACAGAAGATATAATTTCAAATATTGAGAAAGGTATTTGAGATGGTTTGGATATACAGGTTTGAAAAAAATTATACGGGCCATACGGTCTAGGTACGCCAATCTTTATTAATTGTAGGCAGTTATTCGTAAAATGTCAAAGAACATCGTAATCAAATCGGTGAATATGTACAATAAACATTGATATATACTCGTTACTTGCTACAATAGGTATAGCATAATTTTGTAACTTTTTTTTTAGAGTTTTGCGAAATTATCACCTAAACAAATTTTTATGTGATTTCGGTGATTTCGCTGAAAAATCCCCTTTAATTTTTAACCGACTTCAAAAAAGAAGGAGGTTCTTAATTCTTCGTAATATTTTTTTTTATGTATGTTCAGCTATAATTCTTTAACACGGTGTCCGATTTCAATGATTCTTTCTTTGTTAGAAAGGGGGTACTTCTTGGTTCCATATTAATTTGGTCAACATCTAATAATTGGGTCCATTGGAAAATCCTCAAACTCTTCATTTTTAATGTATGTTTAGCGGTAATTCTTTACCACCTTGTCCAATTTCTATGATTCTTTTTTTGTTAGTAAGGGGGTACCTCAGGGGTGGTCCCATATAAATTTGGTTAAGATGTGGTGACATCTACACGATTTTGAAGTCGGTTTTTTAAAATTACTTTTAATACTTGTATATGATGAGACCTTTTTTGGGACTATTCTCTTGTCTTTTGATCAACAAGCTTCTGCATTTACATTTTTGAGCAACGAATTGATTTTGATGATGATTTATAAAATTTTGAGAATATTTGTAGTAATTTCCAGTGAAAACGTACCAGTATTTCGGGATAGGTTGACCCCTCGACGGAGTTAAAATAAAAACTTTTTAAAATACATTTTATTTACCTACAATTCAACCTTTTCATTGCACAATCAACAATTCAGAGACATTGTGCTGGAAAAAATAAACATTTTAAGGGACTGCATTATAGGTCCTTTTTCATTGATGGTAAACTTAATGGCAAAATATATTAAATTTTAAAATCAAGTAATCATTTTTCACTTGGATATATTTCCTAATTCTAGAATCGGAGAATTACGTAAATATTGTATTTAATTAATTGAAGAGACCGCTACCCCACAATTGTTCATTCATTACTATCGGAATTTTCTATGAGGTGGTAGTCGTACACAAAATATAGAAATGGCGTTTACTCATAGTGCCTATATTCTATGGCTCGTATAATTTTTTTTTAATCTGTATAAAGAGGATAAATGATAAGATAGACGAAACAAGTTTACAAGACGAGTGTGGTTAAGAGAGTTGAAAAGGTTCGACCTCAGCAAACGTACTTCAATCAGATTGAGGAAGTTTTTAGCAAAGGCCAGTGTAGGGCTCATTAAAATCACATACAGTATTTTTAATTTTATTCCTTGGACATTCTGTATATAACAAAATTATCGTGTAATTTAAATAAAAATGTCATGTTGACAAAAGCAATAATTCATTTTTTTTTTTATTATTGATCACGTTGTTGTATGTTTTTCATATTGACTTTGATAAATAAAAAAGAATTGTCAAAAAAAAGAACGAATTTTTATCTTCATCTTGGTTGTGGCAAAGGACCCGTGCCACAACAGCCAGCTTAGCAGTACCCTAATTAATTTAACATGTACACCTATAGAGTTGAAATTTGGCTCTCAAAAGGAACTTTAGGCGCTCTACTGTTGCAATTTGGCTCTGTTGTCTAATGAGTTTACCGACCACTGACCTATACCATCAGTTGTATGTTAATGTTTGAATAAAAGTTTCATTATCATGCGCAAATTTAAAAACTAGGGAAGTGAGTAAAAAATTGATTTGCTAATTTTAAATACTTCCATCCAACGTTGAAGTTTGAAATTTTGAAGATTTAATAAACTTAAGTTACTTTTACTGTGAGTAATTAGAGCGCCCTGTAAACTAAACGATGAGACACCCCGTGTACTAGGATCAACACTAATATTACCATTATATAAAATATTTCTTTAGTAAAATTGTAGATAAATAAAATCAAATTTTATGAATGAAATCATCTTTAAACCGTTAGGTATATTTATTTATGCCAGCAAATGATTCTCTTTGTCTGATCGGGACCAATTAGGTAATGTTGCAAACGTGTGATCTTTTTTGTGGTGAATGAGTGGTAGGCTCCATCTGTTCATCAATTATTTTTTTATATGCGCAACTATAGTCATTTGCTTTTTAACATAGAAACGGTTTTATACATTTGTGTTTTCGTTCCAATTTTATTGATTTTATGTACCGAGTTTGAAACATTTTTGTCGCCGCCGATTTTTATTTTTAAATATCGGTAGTACAATATATTATCGTGGCATTTAGTATTTATGATATATTATGATCTGATTTTCTTTATGTAACATTATAAATACCATACCATGATTCTAACGATTGAAATATTTTTATGTATTTTATTTTTCTTTATTTACCGGGTTCTGTAACCTTAGACAGAACCTTGCCTGGGCGCCACCTCTCGGGGAACGTGAGGATTCCTATCTCAGTTGGGTTCAAATACGTTTGACCTAATTTCAGTTTACCTGTATTTTATAAGTATACAAATAAATAATAAATCATAAAAAATATCTTAATTTAATTAAACATGCCTGTTAAATTAGAGAATGAGAAAAAATCAATTAAATAGGAATTAAAGATAACTGTAAACTTAAAGTTAATTTAAATTTCCCCCGTTTTGTCAAAGTAAAGTGTCGAATAATACAAATAATATTATGAACAACTGTGCGCTGTGCATTTGC